TGGAATGGAAAGACAAAGTTAGGATTTTTTTCAATGCGACATTTACATTGTATGCGTGGCTCTACATAGGTGGACATATAGAGAATCTCACCAGAGTGATCTCTTGATATCAAATATATCAACACGAGTTGATAAAAGTGGACAAATTCCGAGGCTTGCCGAGGATATTTGCCACTTTTATCAACGAGTGTTGATATATTTGATATCAAAAGACACGAGGGTGAGATTTCATTTATCATCCAACATCATTCTTTCAACTTTTTCAATTTGTTGACAGTAATTAGCAGTGACTTCAGTGTAAAAAGTAATGCTGACAGCTTCAGTAGCAGAGCCATTAGTGATGTCATTTGATTGTGATGTCATGGTAACCAGTGACGTCACAATTGTCTGCAAAGCATTGTGATGTAATTTCATTGCAGCGATATCTACAGTGTAGATATCGCTTGATCTAATCCAAGCGATATCTCCTGTGGGAGCCAGTTTTGGATGATAAATATAAACGTCCTACATTATCTCGTTAATAATACCGTCTCAAATACCTGAGAATATTTTATTCGCACAAAGTTTTCCGACAAGTGTATAATAAATATTTTTCTCACATAGCACAATTTGGGGGTGTATTCGAAAACGTGCGAAATGTTCATGCAAAGAATACGCAAGATTGTTTACTATCATTTCTCTTACATATTGATATCATGTACGTAAAATGTATGAAGACAATAATTTTGGAAATTCAACTTCCTACAATTAAGTACAATTTAAAGTTTGAAGGTCTTTCCTGCACCAGATGGTGGCACATCTAACAAAATGTCGGTAGTTTGTGACGTTCCTCAGTAGAGGCTTTTGTAGAAGGATAGTGCTTCGTCTAAAAATAGCGACCAATGAAAAATTACATAACATAGTGTATGTTTAATATTTCGAAGGCGCTCACAGCCATCGTCTCATTGGCCTGTACCGGCTCCTATATCGTGATATTGGAGACGGGGCCAAGCTTAGGGCCTGTGCCGGCTCATATCTTGGCGCAAGTTGACGACGCGCATAGGTAGCCGGAAACCTGTTTATATCGATTCCTAGCTTGGCGCAAGTTGACGACGTGCATAGGAGTCGAGAACCAGCTTAAGCGTTTCTAATGTTGGCCTGTATCCTAAGCTGGTTCCCGGCTCCCTATGCGCGTCGTCAACTTGCGCCAAGCTAGGAGCCGGTACAGGCCAAAATTGAAAACACTCAGCGTGTTTATTTGACGTCACATCCGGTGATTTTCAAAAATTGGCTACGCTAATGCCGATTCAGGGGGAGGGACACACATGTGAAAAGCGTGTCATCTTGCGTTTGCTGTGGTAACCCAAAATCTGATGGCGGGCAATTTTATAGGGTGGAAAGTAGACCAACAAAATCAGCTGACAACAGTCTCGCTAATCTTTAGGAGCGCTACGAAGTGGTTCAAGGGTTGAATTCGAAGTGAAGTGAATAACTCCATAAACTAAATTATTGAAGTCAATTCTTAAATAATCTGTGTTCCTTGACATAAAATAGAAAGCTATCACATTTCATGGGTAGTTGCCAAACTATTGGTACCCATATGTTTATGTTGTATTTGCTTGAAAATGTAAAGGGCAACTTCTACCACACCACCACTGCACAATGTAACTGTCACGGTCGCTATTCTAAGATGTGTCGTAAATCACACTGGACAACAAACTCCTAAGAACAGTTAACGTAAATTTACATAAAAAGTAGACTGCAATCGTTTGATTTATGATTGATTGATTGATCTTTGAAGATTTTATAGATTTTCGGCAACGAGTTCCATTTACACCTTGAAGGCTTACAAAATTCCTAAAAGCGTTATGAAGTAGAGAACCTGCCAGAGGGACATATGTGTCCCTCCCCTTCAACCCTCACTTTGAAGTCGAATAAAATTCAAACTACACCACGCACAGATACACTTCGCAGTTTTGAATACTGTGGGAAATTCCCTGTTTGGTCATATAATCCACTGGCATTTTTGGCCAAGCAAAATTACTGAACATGACCTCTGAAAATTAGGTACATAGTAAATGTCGCGATTTTTTTCACACATTGCGTTATTTACAGCATATGTTTTGAAATAATAATTTCGGATATTTACTCGGAGAAATTAATTTCAAAAATAGCATATTAGTAATCACGGGTATCTGTCTTTGATCAAATCACCAATGATCATTTCAAAACGTCGCCGATAGCCCTAGAATCGTTTAGAATGTCTTGGAAAATACGCAACACGAACGACGAAATGAACTTTCTGCCATATTGGATAGTATTTAGAAAATCACGTTTCACGTATACCGGATATGAGATGCCTGTAACAGCACGTTAATTTAAAGAGGCACTGATCTAACGCAATTCCCCGGGACTGGTTGTTGCCTTTGTTATTGTTTTTTCCCAGTGAGTACCCGGATGTATAGCAGAAATCTAGACTAGTTCGCGACCTCTGCTATTCGTAAGCGCATTAGTCAATGGGTAGTAATAAGGGCGTATGGTCACATTGATCAACAAAATTAAATACAGTTTTCGAGATAATAAGGAAATGTAGGTATCTTTGTGGGTAGCATCGGTAATGGTGACGAAGTTTTGATAAGTCACTTGCTTGGTAATTTTGCGAATTTTCGACACTATTACACTATTTCGACTTGCAACACAAAGTAAATATTTCACCTGAGCATTGTTTTTTTATAGTGTGTATATTTTTTTACTGTCAAAATGTGTAACAAATTTATTAAACGTCTAAATTTTCAGTTATTTTACAAAGTGACTGAAAAACATTTCCATCTGTATTATTATGATAACGAATTCCAAACATTTTGATGTTTAATGTCATCACCAAGAGAAAATGTTACGTTGAAAAGTACATTTCTATGTTGTTTGGCTTCTCATCCTACATAATAATCTGTTGTGGTGTTTTTAGGCCCGTTGGATCGTCTTAATCAATTTTAGTCAATCTGGACGGATTTTTCAGTCAAAATGCCTGAAATATTTACACATTTTATAAATTGCCTGAGAGAATCAGATTTTACAAATTGACGGTAATATATACACGCTTACAAAGGATACTTGTGAAAACAACGTCTATCGCGCATTGAAGAATTTCCCAACCAAGATGTAGAGGACCAAGAACGAATCGGTTCAAATGAAGGAAAACAAAATGCAAATACCATAATTACAACCTACCAAATTTATGTGTATACATTTTAGGCAGCTTCCTTGTTCGAGGAATGTATCCGTGAATATCCATGCACACAAAGGAACAATATCCTACTCGTCTGCAGCTGTACAAAGAAACTTATTCGATGTCACGTGTCTCTGTAACAATCAAATATTTTAAAAGATATATATCGTTTCGTGTTCGTTTCTCAACTGATCACTTAGATTGTTTCAGGTGTTTCACATAGGTGTCAAGTCTCAAGAGTCGGCTGAGAAAGCCCACGTGACAACTATTTTCATAACGTCCACGGTTCCTAAAAAATCCATCGAGTGATAGATAACAATGAGCAATCAATCAACGTATTATCAGTTAACCCTTTGAACAAAGTATGTTGTTTTTACATCGGCACTTCACGCCATGATGTGAGTGTATTCCCTTTGTTTTAGTAAACCTAGACATGTAAACACTCACTTTTGACATATCCACTGTGCAAGATAACAGTGATTAATCAATCAACGTATTTTCTGTTAATCCTTTGATGGCTAGGAACGATCCGTTGATTTACAACAAAAAAAGTGAATCAACTGATCATTCATCTCTTGCTGGGATGCCACGTGCATATTACATAACACACATTTCATCTCACTTCAAACCTGGATTTAGATTGAATAATTACCCCAGACACAATAAATGCCAAATGGGAACCTTTGTCAGGTAATCTAAGTGGTGCTACCACTAAATGTACCTGTAATAAATTCATTAACTGAGCATCAAGTGAATGACGACAAATACACAAGTGTAGGGTTATACGAGAAAACGTGGATGACAACAAGAGAGTAGTAATCGTATTATCGACGCAATCGGAAATCCGAAAATGCTTTCACTGCAAGGATACTTTTTTTAGTATTAAACTATAACCATCTCGGGTATTTCCAAATGACGACATCCGATGAGCTCCGTCGTTCTTTTTGTCTGTTTGTTTAGGCTGGAGAAATTAATTAACATGCGCCCTTTTTCGAAATTTTTATAGATCACAGTTAACCAATCAGTGTTTATGCAAAAATGCGTAAAACAAATATTGCCTCCAGCCTCCAAGTTTATTTAGCTGTCCTTGAAGACGGTAGCCCAGTCTCTCGTCACGCTCAGTTGCGTTGCGTATCATCCGGGTACTCACGGGGGGAAAACAATAACAAAGGCAACAACCAGTCCGGGGAAATGCGTTAGATCAGTGCCCCTTTAAAACTCAGCTGCGATACATACATACTTGAATTCCTCATACAGAGTAGAATCAAATGACACATAGTCTTTGTCAATGAAATCAATCAAAAAAATTTAGGTGTGAAAACGAACGCTGTGCTCGAAAAACTACACTTGTTTGAAATGTAAACAAATAAACACGCTGGGTGTTTTTAGTTTTGGCCTGTACCGGCTCCTAGCTTGGCGCAAATTGACGACGCGCATAGGGAGCCGGGAAGCAGCTTATCCTAGCTTGGCGCAAGTTGACGACGCGCATGGGGAGCCGGGAACCAGCTTAAGCTGGGAAGTAGCTTGAGGTCGCAATGTGGAAATGCGTAGCAAAAGTACAATCCCAGCAGTCAAGGAGCGCCCATTTTCACCATGAACCTCCCCCATCAAGTAGACCCTATTAGCTTTTTATGTTACCCAAAAATAAAGAACCTAGTTATTTGATTTCAAAGCCATTAAATATGTAGCTGAAGATTCTTGTTTCGCCGAGTATTTGCTCTTTGGTACCTGTTGTAAGGAAAACCGTATTTAGTTATTGGTGTAATCGTCATCAATGAATGTGCACAAATTGTGATGACGAATAGACATCTCATTGGTTTGAGGTGTCGTGCCATAATATTTCTGAGGAGATATCGAATGTTTACGGTTTCGAAAACATAAATATTGAAGAAGACTAACCAGTTAATGAGCTTTGTTTTCCGACAATGTCTTGATAATTGTATTTGGGTAAGTATATTTGTGATTTATGAGAGAAAACCCCCAGATCTAACCAACCCCTTAGATGCTCATTCACTTATTCGTCAAAGCTGAACGAAAATAACATACAAACGAAGTCACGAAGTTTTTACGGTTTGCTCTGTTTTTTCACGGATCATGGTTCTGGAAAAAAACCCGTATACATTGTTATTGTCATCGTGAAAACAAGAAGGATGTTCTCTTTGTAAGGTATATGGATTGCGTAATAAAGATCAGTTTGCCCCATATTTTCACATATGACACAGCATTACGACGGAGTGATCATGGTAACATTGTCCTGTAAATTACTTACAACTAACCCTGTAGGTCATTGTCTCATCGTCACATGTTCATTGAGACTGAAAATGATTAAGGCCACACCAGCTGTTGTTATGCAACGTACAGCTTGTAGACTTGTGTAGTTTACACTTTTTGTGTTGGTGCTCAGTGCTTGTATCATGTATAGTAGACCTGTACAGACCAATTATCGCCATTTTTGTCATGTTATTTCTGAAATATTCCATGCACATAGTTAACTGTGCCAATAACTTCGATTTTTTGTGAAACTATGAGCAAATGTGCTTATTTCTGAAAATAGAAATGTCTCGTAGTAGAATTGTACGTACCAGTAACCGCGATTGTCTAAACAGCATGTGATCACGCATACACATCGATTCAGTTATGCAAATTACACTTTATATTTGCTCTGGTATTGCACTAAATTTTCATATTCATTACAATTGATAAGAAATGCTTTTATCAATTTGTTGTTTGCAACTGACGTCTACACAAACCAATATTCCCCAAATTTGATTTACACACGCTTATCCTCAAAACTATGGATTTTGAGATATATACCGGTTTATGCATTTTTGAAAAAATTGCTCCAACAGGTTTTAGAATTGTATATTGGGGAAGAAATGACAGCCAGTTAAGTAAGCCCAAAGGGGTCTTTGGTATCCCAAACACTGAAACAGCGAACGAGTCCATTTATGGAAAGGAAAAAAGCAAGACAGAAAAATATACAGTGTGTACTGTCATGTTGAATTTTACAGCGGTGTGGCACCCTGGACGTGTCGTCAAGGAATAACAATTTGGCCTGTGGCGGAATGGACTCATCCTAGTGTACCGTTCTGTATTCCGGTTTTGTCTGCGGTACATATCTGTAGTGCCCATGCAGACAACTACCCCTTCAGTGATAATAAACTATGACAGAATTATCATGTTGGTGGATTTTTGTTTATGCGTGAATGGGCGATCTTTTTCCATTTATCTTATAGGATATCCATTTGAAGCAAGGCAAGGGGATCAGCTGATCTTCTTTCCAGGTTGCTCTGATGACATTTTGCAATGGGTACTGAAGGTGCTGCCTTTGATGTCTGAACATCATACCTTAAAACATGAAGTATAGTTTCATTATATAAGTTTTGTTGACTGACATCATGAGCATCGATTCACACAATTGGGATTGATGACATGCATCAACCAAGTCAGCGAGCCTGATCACCCAATCCTCTTAGTCACCTTTTACGGCAAGCAGTGGTTGCTGAAGACCTATTCGGTGTCTAGCCGGTTGAGCCACATTTAAAAAATGACTATTGCTGAATGCGCCACATTTTCAGCTGTGTGCATTTCACCTACTCTAGTTGGTAATTAATCAGATGACCGATACCTTTAAATGATTGTCCCACATTTAAATTGAGTAAACTCACCTCAATTAGCTTATAGAGATTACTAAGCGTAGTGTTCTTTAGAGATCAATGGCGGTCTTAATTGACATTGAGTTAATTCTGTCATTCATAACATATTTAAGTGACATCCTGTTCACTCCATGTCAGAACCATGGCAAATGCACAAGTTCAAATATAGTTCATTGAAAGTGGCAGAGGAGGCATCATTTTGTACTATGATGGCTTTAAGTTTTAGTGAAAGAGCAGTCGTGGTGAAAGAAGATACTGGTCCTGTATTGTCAAGGAGTGCACTGCAAGGATCACAACTCAGGGTGAGTTGCTCCACGCCATTGAGATCATGGGTCACTCCCACGACCCACTACCGTTCGAGTTTGAGGTTGATGCCTTTAAGGCTAGACTGATGGAGAGAGCGAGGACAGAAACGACCCCTATACCCACTATCTACAGAGAGGAGATATCCAGACTATGCCAACATCACAACATCGTCTCAGATGACCTCCTGAAGCAAATACCAGCCCTGAAATCTCTCACCACTATCCTCTACCGCCAGAGACACAAGACCTTGCCCCGCCTTCCTGACAGCAGACCCCAGATCCAGCTGGAGGAGAAGTACTCCCAGACTGACGGCGGCGACCAGTTCCTACACCGTGTTAGTGACGACATCCTCATCTTCACTACAGACAAGAACATTGAACATTGATGTGCTGCAGACATTGTATTTTGTGATGGTACTTTTTATGCCTGTCCCAAGTTGTTTGATCAGATTTATTGTTTACATGCTGAGGTGTTTGGCCATATGTTACCATTAGTATACTGTTTGTTGTCCAATCGAACAAAAGAGTGTTATGTCAACATGTTTCAGTACCTGTGCGAATTTGCTAGTAGGTGAGGCCTAGAGTTAGCCCCACTTACAATTCTGTTGGACTTTGAACGTGCAGCTCACAATGCCGTGACTGATGTATTTCCTCGGACATTAGTTAGAGGGTGTTTCTTTCACTTCACCCAATGTATCTGGTGATGGACTGTAAGGAAGATGAGGAGGTTAAGAAGCTGGTGAGAAGAGCTGCTGCCCTCCCTGTAGTACCTCGTGACAAGGTGGAAGATGTGTTGCTTGATGCCATTGCTGACTCTCCTGCTGGCCCTAAAGTGACTGCCTTCATGGACTATGTGACAACCAGTTGGGTTCAAGGACAGGCCTTCATCCCAGAGATTTGGAATCACTTCGAAAACCAAGGCAACCGTACCAACAATCACCAAGAAGTGTGGCACAACAAGATAAAGAGACTTGTCAAGAAGTGCCACCCGAACATCTACGAGGTAGTGAAGCTCTTTCAGCGCGAGCAGTCACTCGCAGCGGTTGCAGTCCTGAGACTCTCTCACCAGTGGTCAAAACCTTCATGAAGAAGAAAGTACAAAGCAATCGATGCTCGATGTTTTGACAGCATAGCCACGAGAGCCACATTCCACAATCACGTAATCGTAACCATTGCCCCGCGAGCCACATCAATTTTGGCTATCTATTTTCGAAATGTGGCTTAGGCGGCCTGTAACCACATATTCGACCCCGGATCTTCACGGGTCTCATTATATAAGTACCCATATCTATGTTGTATAATCAACGATCAGGCTATGTGCCTGCAGTTCAGTACACCAGCTAATAGGGCGATGGGGTACATGAAATGTGAAGGTCTTATGAAATGTACATTAACCCCCTGGATGTCAGAGGGACGCATATGTCCCTACTCGTCAACCCTCACTTTGAAGTCGAAAAAAACATGCATCACACATACAAATACACTTCAGTTTTGAATTCTGTGGGAAATTTCCAGTTCTGTGATATCATGGTTACACAAATTATATTTGAATTCTCAGATGGGAAGAGATAACAAGTTTAATTCACACATAGATGAAGATAAAACCTTCTACATAAATAATTACCAGACAAGGTAACTCAATAATTTTTTAATTTGAAGTTTACACAATATACGGCTTTTCCATTGGATGAGAGGTCGTTCACATTACCGTTCGTAAGTGTATGAATGACACAATTTGATGTTTATACGTTTTTCACGAGACCAGGTTCATGAAATGACCTAAACACTGATGGACTACTTTCACGTTCTGGGGAAACCCCTGAGAATTCCCTAGCGAATACATACAGAAGCGTTCTTTCTGAACATTTAGACCCTTTAATCTTGAACTCAGCATTTCAGTATACCTTGAGAAATGTCAGAGAGTTTGACTGCATCATTGTTCATGAATATCCTCGCAACGACCCATCCTAATGAACAAATCGAAGAAATGCACTTCCAATCTATCATTGTATCAACTAGATCCGTGTCAAGGCTGACAGTGACAGTCTACAGCTATCTATGAATTTATCTAAGTGTTTATTTGACACATCCTTAATCACCTTTCAATGATCGGCCAGTTGATCAATGATGACTAATACATGTAACTGCCAAAGCTTCATTAACAACTTCCAAAATCACTCCTGCCATTTTATCGTGTCGGCCATTATGATGTTTTGTAATGGATGTAAATGTTTTACGACACACTGTCATTGTGACTGACTTACTGAGGTAGTTCTTAATGAGGATATTATTTGAGTATATTTGTTGACAGAAACTACAAAAGCTGTCCCTGTTGAGCATACAAAAGATCATGTCACCTCTCGTTTTAAGGAACTATTTTATTCCGCGATACAGCTGGTTGTTGTATGGCTGTCAGTGCAAACATGAAGCCACACATACTAAATTTAATTGTGTTTATAGATCAAGGTCTACATCCTTTGAGGTACAAAATTGTGATATAAAAAATTTTAAGAATTGACTTTCACTTTGTGTGCGTTCATTGGAGTATGAACCTTCACAAACTCCGTTCATTCAGTTTGTGAAAGTGAAAGTCAATTCTTATTCATTCCAGTTGCTTTTTTGTAATACAAGGGGATATCAAAAAGTTTTGAGCCTGTCATATTTAGGTTGTTATGCTTACTTGTGACATTTCTTGTATTGACCTGTGATTGTTGAGTAATAATCGTTCACAATTTGGCATGCTTCAGTCCAGTGACTTGCTGATAATTAACTGACTCTTAAGGTACCCTAAGCCTCAGCATTGAAATGGACAAAACAGTATAGAGCCGTCAATCAGTCACAACAGAATATTGATGAACTGTTGCAAGCTGTGTATGTGGATGGTGCCCCATCATATGCCATAATTAAACATCGGGTAAGGGAATTTCAGGAAGAGATCGAGTCTGGAAGATGACCCCTGCTGTGGTCAGCTCATCCCCAGAACCAC